CCAGGGGCTGGCGGGGGCAGGGGGCAGGGGCAGAGTGCCGGTTTGGGAAGAGGAGGCGCTGTGGGGTGATAGGTGGAGGCGGCAGATGTGGCACTACCCGCGATGCCGCTGAGCCGTGCGCTCCCGCACGGTGAGAAGGTAAACCCTACATGGCATATGTTTTACCACAAGAATGACTTTAAGGGCGACTCCTGCCCTTGCGTGAAGGCCGCGTCCCGTGACCGCCTGGGCGAGGGCGGGAGCTCGGCTGCGTGAGACGGTCGGAGCCCCGGGTAGAGCCTGAGGACGCGCCCCAGGGGACAGGCCACGCGGGGCCCCCTTCCTCCTCTGGAGCGCTGCTCAGAGGCGGCCCCAGCCGCACGGCGCAGGCCACAGGCCCCCAGCGAGGCTGCTCCCGCCACGTCCTTCACGCGTGAGGAAGCGGCGGAGCCCAGCGCGCCGCATGGCTCCCCACGCCGCACAGGGTCGCGCCCGGACTGGGGGTCTCCCGGTCCCTGCGAGGCGCCACCAGAGAGACGGCTCCGTGGTTCCCTTGTCCCCTGACGCCCATTTATATCCTCTGAGTGTCCCTCCGCGAGTCTCACTGGCTGAAGCTGGGGGTCACGTAGAATTTTTTCTTTTTCCCTCCAGAAGATTAAAATCAAGCAGGAGAGGAGAGATGCTTGTGAAAGCCGAAAGGGCAGCTTGATGCCAAAGGGGTGGGCCAGCCTGGAGGTGCCACGTTGCTCAGGGGACAGAGACGGGTGGGGGCGGGGAGACCGACTGAGAAGGGCAGCTGCCTGGGCGAGAGCGTGGAGCTGGGGGTTGGGGTGCACTAAGCGGAGACCCGCCCCCCGCCTGGGCAGAGCCCATGGCAAGGCCATGCCGTGGCGCCGTGTGCCTGCACAGACAGACCGTGTTCAGTGGCTTCATTTTATTTTTTATTGTATTGTATTGTATTGTATTGTATTGTATGTACTAACCGACAGGAAAAGTGGCTGCCTGTGTGTGCAGCTCTGCAAATTCTGGCGCCACACAAAGGCCCCCCGAGGCCTCCCGCCGGCTTTCGTGCGCTCATGGCGCAGCCCTCTCGCCCCGCCCTTGCCCCGGCCAACGCCACGCTGGGCACCTCACTGGGGCTGACTCTTTTGAAAAACGTGCCCAAACTGAGACAGGACAGGAAGGAACCTTCCTGGAATGTCCTCTTCCACCGAGCACGGGGCCTTGGCGATGCCTCAGAGCAGCCGCCCGTGTGGAAGGAGGGCCCCTCGTCTCGGCTGAGCAGGGGCCGCAGCCCCGCGGGCACCGGGGCGGGTGGCGGTGTATCGATTACGAAAGGGGCTGCTGCGTACGTTTAGGAGCAGGTTTTTTTACAATGACATTTTCATGTAGGATTTAAGTTACTTTTTCTTTAAAAATTGGTGATCAAGATATGCATTATAAAAAACACTCCTCAAAATGCCGGATTTTTCTTTTGTCAGCAACAGCAGGAAATAGGATTGTCAGGTCACGTGGTGAGCACACGAGTAGCGTTGGGAGAGCTCCAGACGGCTCTCCAGAGCGGCCGCACCTGCTGCCCTCCCACCAGCAGCCCCCGAGGGCTCCCGTCGCTCCACGCTCCACGTCCTCCTCACCTCTCCGCGTCATCAGTACTTCTTTTTAATTTATTTATTTTTAGACAGAGGGGAAGGGAGGGAGAGAAACGTCCATGCGTGGCTGCCTCTCGCGCGCCCCCTCCTGGGGACCTGACCTGCAACCCAGGCCTGTGCCCTGACTGGGGATCGAACCGGCGACCCTTTGGTTCCCAGGCCGGGGTTCAGTCCACAGAGCCACACCAGCCGGGGCTGATTTTAAGTTCTTTGTCATATATGTGATCTGTAGATATTTTGTCTTATTCTGTAGCTTGTATAGTCATTCTCTTAATATTAAGTGTCCTCTGCAAAGTGCAGTTTCAATGTTGATCAAGTCCAACATACCAATTTTGTTCACGGGCCGTGTTTCTGGTGTCAGGTCTAAGACCTTGATGCCTACCCCAGGTCATGAAAAATTTTCCCTATTGGTTCCTTCTAAAAGGTACAGTTCCACATTGTAGATAAGAGATCTGGGGTCTGTTTTGGCTTAATTTTTGTTTAAGGCTTGGCTGTGGGTCGCGGTCAATGTATTGAGCACAGGCAACCAATTGTTCTAACGCCGTTCGTTGCGAAGACCAAAACCATTCTCTCTGCGCGGAGCTGACTTTACGCCTCCGTCAAGGACCGAGTGGCTCTGCCTGTGGGGGTGTCCCGGGCCGTGCGCTGCTCCGCTGGCCGGCGCGTCTGCGCCCCCAGCACCGGCTTGATGGCAACAGGCAGAGGAGACCTGAGAACCAAGCGGCGGGACCCCTCCCGCGTCAGCCCCCTTCCCTCCGCTGCCTGGCGGCCTGGGCCCCGGCGCGCTTCCGGGCGGTGCTGGAATCCACGGGCCCCGCCGCACCGGCCTCGCCTGGGAGTGGACGGGAAGCGCAGGACGTCTGTCGGGCAGGCGGGGGGGGGACCTGGCCCCGCCACTGTGCCGACCTGTCCGACCCTCGGCTCTGAGCGTCTCCCCGTTTAGCGACTCTTCTGTGAGGTCTCCCACCAGCACTGCTGGGTCTTAGCATAAAGGTTCCTTCTATGCTTTGCTAGATTTGTACCTGCCCCTTTGCTTCTTTGATGCTGTTCCAACAGCGGTCCTTTAAATCGCCTTTTTCTTACCTGTTCCTCATTAGCGTAGAGCGACGTGATTAACTAAACATCTTTAAGCGCCAGGCCGCCACAGCGGTGAGGCAGGGCGCCCCACAAGCAGGAAATGCTCATCGCGTGGCGCGGTCTGGGCGGAGTTGCCAAGCGCCTTTTCCACGAACGCCCCTGACCCCTGACGCCATGGCTTCGAGGGCCTGGTGCCCTCACCACCGTCACGTGTTCCTAAGGAGGTTTCGATTCCTTTCCCCGTAGAAGATTGGCGGCCCATATGTTCAGTGTAAAAAGCACAAAAACAGGTCGTTTTTCTTTGGGCCCTCAAAGCAGGTGTGTATAATTCCCCCGTGAAACAATATTGTCATCTATGTAACACATCACTAACTATCTCACGACATAAATAAGATGTAAGGAGACCCGCTCGGTGCGACGGAACGTCCACTTCCTTGAAAACCTCTGGGGCGCGTTGAGGCTTTTCTTCGTTTGGCCGCGGGGTCAGTGAATCGAAGAGGACGCGGCCTCTGTGACTCAAAGCACCAAAAAAACGGCACAGAGACACCAGGCGACGCGTACGTTGGGCTCTGTCTTTGAGCTGAAGCCATGAGGATGGTGTCTAGTAAGGAACTGCAGCAGGCCGATGAGACATGTAAAAACGTTTGCCTTCGCGGAAGGTGTCTGAGCGGTTTCCTGGCTCGGCCTTTAGCTCTTCACCCTCGTCCCACACCCCCCGGAGCCGTGAGGTCAGACGGGCATCGGGCACAGAGAAGGCCACGGGGAGGGAGAGGCGCGCTCCGGGGCTCCAGTGGGGAGCAAGTTAGAACAAGAAGGGCTGCCCTCCCCCTGCCGCTGACCACCCCCAGACACACGGGCTCCCACACGCAGCTCAGGGCCCGCGCGTCCCCAGAGCGGGTCGGAACCCCGAGTGCTCCGCCGGCTGCGGGCCGAGGAGCCTGCGCAGCCACGGGGCGAGCCCCGGCCCGAGCCCCGGCCCAAGGGAGCGGGCGCGTCAGACTCCGGCGCCCACCGGGCGCCTAGCTGGAGAAAGCTCGCACAGGACACGGCGCGCCTTGAACAGGGGCTGGAAGGGAGCCCCCAGCAGCTGCAGGCGGCAGGGAGCCCCGGCGGGGGCGGGTGCTATGGGCGAGGGGTCCTGTCTGGAAGTGGGCTCCGTCGGCGGGCCCTGGGGGCCCTGGGCATGAGGAAGGGGCTGGCACAGGGTCCTCGTCTGCGTTCCGAAACTCCCTCTGGCCGGGCAGGGAGAACGCCTGGACGGCTGCGTGAAGCCTGGGTCCCCGGGGGACCGGAGCACAGGGAGCTTCGCGCTGAAGAGTGGGCAGGGCCCTCAAAGTGCCAGGGGGCGGAGCCAGCCTCGCGCACTGGGCTGGGCCCACTCGCGGACTCCTCGTTCCCCGCCGGAGAGGTGGCCATCAGCCGGGGCTAAGGCAGAAAGCCGAGAAGGCCGGCCACCCCGATGGCCTCGGGGCCCGGGGCCTCCGTGGAGCCCACAGGAGGTTGTGCGGGCCGCGCGGAAGGAGAGAGGGTCAGGCAGGGAGGCAGAGGGCCCAGCCGCTCGCCCTGCTGGACAGGGAGCGTCACAGAAGGAGCCCCAGCTGTTTCCTGTCCCCCGTGGGGGAGGGGAATGAGTGCAAGGGCCGTCCTGAAGAAAACCTGCCAGGTCTGAGCTGCGTGGACAGGGACGCGTGGGACAGGCCCGGCCCCAGCCCGGGGGTGATGCGGGAAGACCAGCCGCTGGGGAGGTCGCGGGGGGCGGGCCGTGCCCCTGTCGCTGCGTCGCCCCAGACTGGGCGGGCTCAGTGCCCCTGTGACCGGGGCCACTGGCTTTGAGGGACAGGCTGGTTCACGCGATGGGACCCCACAGCTACCAGTGGGCTAGTCTTGGCGGCCGCGGTTGTTCCCTGCGTCACCCGAGCGTCTGCCCTCACACGCACCAGGAGCTCGGGGAAACGCCGCCTTCCTCTCCGCGCTCGCCCACCAGGTCCGTCTTAGACAGCACCCACCCCCGTGCCCTTCTCGGCCCCCGGCCGTGCTTAGGTGGCACTGGGGACCCGACCTGGACTCTGTGGAGGGAAGAGCTCCCGGCTCGGTGACTCTCACAGACGCAGGTCCTGCCGGTCCCAGCCCCCACCCCCGGCCCAGGCACGGCCGGTGGGGCGGCGGCCACATCCTGGCGCGTGCGGTCCCGACTCGCAGCCATCGGGCGCACCGCGGAGTCCGGGGCAGCGTCGGCCGCGACGCAGGGGGACCGGGAGGCAGCCTGTCCTGAGGCCACCGCGGCCTGTCTTTCAGGACGCCCACCACGTGGCTAGGACCACCCACTACGGCTCCCTGCCTCAGAAGTCGCAGCACGGCCGGTCCCAGGAGGAGAATCCTGTAGTCCACTTCTTCAAAAACATCGTGAGTGCCCTTCCACCGTGCGGGGGGCGGGGGGCGCTGTGCCAGGCACGGGGTGCGTGTCCGACCCTCGCGGCCGCCTCAGCCCTGGGCCCCGGGCCCCCACCGCATCTGCTGCTCACCGGCCTTGTGTGTGACCGCAGAACTCACCCTTCTGCGCCTAAACTACTATGAGCGCTCAGTGTAAAAACACGGGCCGTGCCAAACTACGGAGAGAGTAAAACGCGGGCGTGGGGGTACGGTGTTCTGAGGGCAGTGAAAGCGCCTGTGTGTCCTGCGGGTGGTGGACACGCCTCCCACCTCCCTCGAGGCCTTAGAACACGCAGCTCGGGGGTGCCCGCGGCGCAGGGGCCTGCAGCTCACAGCGCGACGCATGCGCCCGCTGGTGCGCGGCCGTCACAGGGCGCCCGGAGGGTCCGTGGCGGCTTGGCGACTCCCGTGCGCTTCCTCTAGGACCCTGAAGCTGCTTGAAAAAATAGTCTTAAGGGAAAAGCAGAACCACAGCCTCCTAATTATGAGCTTTCTGGGCGGCTGACATGTTAAAATGATACTTCCCACGCAGCCCAGTGAGATTTCGGAGCCACACACCTGAGTGTCAGGGGACACATCACTGCCCCCCGCCCCGAGGGGACTGCGTGCCACCCAAGGCCCCCCTCCGAGCCCTGGTCGCAGGGCCCGGGGCTCGTTTTCCACTCCCTCGCACGCTCCAGAGAGTTCTGGAAGCCCGGAGCAGCGCCGGGTGTTCTCGGAACCTCGGGTCCTGCGGTTCTCCCTGAGCTGGGATGGAGGCGGGGGCGCTGGACGGTGAGGGCGGGGGCGCTGGACGGTGAGGGAGGGGGGACCCTCGCCTGGCAGGTTCCAGATGCTGTCAGTCAGCAGACACAGGCCCTCAGGGGTCCCCCAAAGGGGCCGGGCTGCTCTGAGGGGGGGCCTCCCCGCACTCACCCTCTCCTGTGTCCCTGCAGGTGACGCCCCGCACGCCTCCGCCGTCACAAGGAAAGGTAAGGCCCCTGGGCGTCTCCACTGACGGTCATTTATTGATAGATCTTCCTGAAACCCCCACATGTCCCCAAAAGATGGCTGGCCCCCGGCCCCTGCCTCCATCGCCGTGTTGCCACGCGGCTCCCAGGTCCACACACCGACGCGGGGGTCCCCTCCTACAGGCGCGGGGACAGGGCTCCAGGTCCCAGCTCACCGTCCCCCTGCACCCAGGCCCCACGCCCGCCCAGGAGCTCGGGGCTGCCTCCGCCACCTCGGGGGAGGGGCCCACAAGCTGCCCGCGCCCAGGCCGCGTCGGTCGCGTTTCTCCTTCATAAAAGAGCTTCGCTCCTGCCCGGATCGCAAGGTCACTGTGTCTCTCTCTCCCTCATCCAGGGGCGAGGACTGTCGCTCAGCAGATTTAGCTGGGTAGGTGGCACGCGCGTCCCTGCGCTTCCCCTCTCCGTCCGCGCAGCCTCGGCACCTGTGTTCCCCTCTGTTTCAGCTGCCTAACGTCCGTCCGGCACCTTCTCCCTTCCTTCCTCGCAGCCCAGCTTCCCCCCCCCCCCCCCGCCGCATCCCCCCCTTTTCTCTCCAGGGGAACAGCGAGCGGCGTCCGCAGCGGCTGGCCCGGCCCTCCCGGCATCGGTCGTGCCCCGCCTCCCCCTCGCCGGCCACGGGCACCCCCGGCCAGCGCCCCTCCCCCGCGGCTCCCTCCATCAAGGGAGCCCCGCGCTGAAGAAAAATGCCCGTTTTCTCCCCCAGTCGTGTGGGCCCAGGGCTGACGGTCCATCGTATGACCAGCCCCGTCCGCGACAGTGACTTTTCACTGAGGCAAAGCAAGACTAAGGAGAGAGAAGATGCCGACTTCAGTGACTCAGCTTATCATGCGCTAACTCGCCCCGAAGGTCTGGGCTCTGTGTGTGTTTTTCACTGAGAACTCCAGGTCTGACATGGAGCCCTCTGGGAAAACCGCCTTAGGAAGGTTAGGTGTTTGAACACTGAGAACAATTTTTTTTCAAGATTTGTTTATTTTTAGAGAGGGGAAGGGAGGGAGAAAGAGAGGGAGAGAAACATCCCTGTGTAGTTGCCTCTTGCACACCCCCTCCTGGGGACCTGGTCTGCGACCCAGGCCTGTGCTCTGACTGGGAATCAAACCGGCGACCCTTTGGTCACAGCCTGGCGCTCGGTCCACTGAGCCACACCAGCCAGGGCAACACTGAGATCAAATTTTTAATGAAGATTCTAAAGGGGCAAGTTGTTCACTTTCCAAATGCTACTGAAATTTGGTGTCTGAACCAACTTAAAAAGCCTACAGTGTACTCTAACCCAACATAGATGCCTTAGTTACTGGCAAATAGTAAGTGCTGTCTTTACTTTATAAAAACTATAATTTTCAGAATAAGAGGGAAGAATAACCACTAACCTGCTTCCAGGAACGGCATCCACTTGGGGACACCACACTCTTAACCTCTAGCTCAGTCCGCATCCACGAGAGGCTCCACGACTAGGCGTCACATAAAAGAACGAAAGGGGAAAAATGCAGATAGAAAGAGAAAGGAAGGAAAAATAGAAAGAAAGGGCAGGTGGGAAGACACCGCAGAGGAAGGGTGTAGAAGAGGTTTCCTAAAGCGCCCGTTCACTGCAGCATGTTCTGGCGTTGAATTCGGAGCGGACGCGTTTGCTGGCATTTCAGACAAGGGCGCCAGAGCCTCTTCCCCACCCAGCAACTCTGCGGAGGCCCAGAAGTGCGTCTGGACCCTGACAAACCACCGCGACTTTCTGTGCAGCAGGACGCAGGCGCGAGGCTGAAGAGTGAAGCCCAGTTTTGACCCAGAAGCCTTATTTTAGGAACCGCACAACCTGCCCCTTAGCGTTCCAGGCATGGGCTCCGGGCTTGCGCAAAGTCCCGCCGCACGTGCTGGCGGCTGGGTCCTCACCTTCTTCCCGTCAGTCGCCCCCCGGCCGCACCTCCCAGAGAGGCCTCCGCGCTCCTCCCGTGTCTCACTCCCGTCCTACTAACGCGTGTTAGATTCCTCTCCCCCCAGCAGCCTCCTCCTGCCTTTGCCTGCAGCCCCACTTCCGTCTGGGCCGCACTGCGTTTTCTGATAAATTCTAGGTCGTCCAAAGATACAAATGACCAGGAATTTGAAAGGAGGAAAAGTCAAGTACATTATTAATCTGAAAACCAGTTCTTAAATTTAGTTCCCAGAAGCTCTGTCTCTGGAGGAACACGAGGGATTGCGGTGGCCCTCTGGCACGTCCGTGTGAGGACCGATGGCGTCTGCGTGCCGCGTGTGTCCGCCTTTGGTGCGGGGGCCCCGTCATCGCCCCCCGCCCCTGTGTGCCTCGTGGACAGCGCGGGTCCGTGAAAGCCTCAGGGTCCCAGGGCAGCGCCGGCAGCGCCCTAGGAGGCGGGCTCCCCACCTCGGCCACGCCCCCACCCCGCCCCCGAGCCCCTGGCCAACCTTGCAACCAGCCTTCCCAGGGAAGCAGCCCCGAGCGCCCAGTGTCCGTCCCCAGGCCTGGGCCAGCGAGAGACAGAGCACGCTCCGCTTGTGTCGGGGGCCCCGGGCCGGCTGCCCTGGCCCACCCCAGTGCCGCCCGGGGGACAGAGGCCACCAGGTGGGGGAAGCCACACCCTCCAGAGCTCAGCTCCGGCACCTCCAGCATAGCGGGCCAGATGAGATGCTCCCCAAGCCCCCCCAAAACACACCCGTGAACTTAAGAAGGGCTGTCGGCAGAGGGGAAGAACTCGAGGTTCCCACTGGGAGACGGGGTCCCATGGTCTGCTTAGAACACAGGGGTCTGCCTTGTCTGACAGGCGAAGCAGAGGGGCCCGCAGACCCCGCCCTTCTGGTGGGGACCTGGCCCTGCGGCCTGGGCAGCTGGGGCCGCCCTCCTGGGGACCCCCCAGCCATCCACACGCCAGGTCCTCGCCCCCAGGCTGTCCCCTTACTTTCTCACACGGACGTCCCGGTGAAACTAAGGCATGTTAGAAAAGACAGGACACGGGTGCCCTCCGGTGCCGGCAGCCCTTCACCATTGCTTTGATCGCCAAGCAGGGCGGCCGCCAGGTGGAAAAGCCCTCGACGTCTCAGACGGACCCGCCCGGGCAACGTCCGTCCCATCCCGTGGCCGAGACCGTGGGCGGGGGGCGCTGTGCCCGGGTCCGGACGGGCCCTGCGGGCAGGCGGCCTCCGGGACCCCGTCCAGAGCTGCACTCTCCTCTTGCAGGGCGCCGAGGGGCAGAAGCCCGGCTTTGGCCTCGGGGGCCGCGCGTCCGACTACAGATCGGCTCACAAGGGCTTCAAGGCCCACGGCGCCCAGAGCACGCTTTCCAGAATCTTCAAGCTGGTAACGTAGCCGCCCAGGCCCGGGCCCGTGGGGCGGGCGGGGGGTGGAGACGCCCAGCCCTTCCCCGCCTCTCCCGTCGTCTCGGTGGGCACTGGACTGGGTCCCGGCCCCTCGGGGCCTTGCGAGCAGGTGGGGACACAAGGCCACGGCTGAGCTGGGCGGCGGTGGGGGGCCTGTGGGTGCAGACGCAGCTGGAAGATCAGGCGGCTTCCAAGGCAGCCGCATCGTCACCTGCTGGGCCGTGCGCAGGACAAGGTGACCGGGAGGCGGGAGCAGGGAGGCGGGGGTGGTTGGACCAGGAGAGAGACCCCGGGAACCACAGCAGATGTGTCCCATCGGTCATGGCCCTGCGGCCACACAGACCCGGGGCGCGCTTGCTGGCCGAGAGCCCCCGGCCTGGGCCTGGATGAGCCTCGGTCTCCGGCTCCATAAAAGGGGGTGACGTGCACAGAAAGCGCCGTGACGGTACCAGGTGCCGAGAACAACGTGGCCACGAGGGGCCCGCAGGCCGCTCACAGGAACAGCCACTCCGAGACCCTGGACTCTCAGCGTGTCCCTCTGATCAGCAAAGGCTACTCCCGCGCTGGCCCCCCATGGGGCTGGGGTGGTGACCGTTCCGGGTGGGTGGCCAGAGAAGGCCGGGCTGAGCGGGCGCGTTGCGAAGAGCAAGGGCTTGAGGAGCTGGCCGTGGCCTCGGCCACAGGAGAGACCAGCGGGGGACAGGAGGGGCTCCCCACAGAGGGGCCTGTGGCCCTCCCAAGGGCTGGGTGTTGACTCTGAGCCGCGTATCCGGGTCCGTCCCTGGGTGCAAGCGCCACAGCGTGACCGAGGGTTCCGTGCTGGAGGACCAGCCGCCAGCGTCCGGCAGAGGTCGGCGCTCACAGGGCTGGGGTTGCAGTCCCTGGACTGACCAGTAAGGAAGGGTCCTGTGGGCCCTGCAGCCACCATCCAAGGACTTGGGCACAGAGCCCGAGCTCCAGCGGCACAAGCGTCTCAGGGCTCCCGGGGGGAGCAGGGCTCGGCGAGGCCCCCTGCAGCGGAGACACGATGCCCCCTTCACCGGTGTCAGGGCAGTTTCAGCGCTGACTTGAGGCCCGAAGACGGTTCTGCTCGCCCGGAGGAGGGGACGGGCACCTGGAATCCGCAGCGGCTCGACCTTCGCCCCCGCGGCTCTCCCGACGGAATAACGCCCACGCCGCCGCTCCACTCGCTCTCAGCCAGACACGGTGCCCCCCTCCCCACTGGTGCCCATGGGGCCGGATCAAACGCCAGGCTCACAGTCCCTTTTAGGGACCCAGTTGGTCACCTGCTTCCAGCCCACAGGGCATCATGAGGGCAGGTGCCGCCAGGAGCCGGCTCGTCGGAGGCAACGTGACCAGCACCCCGTCCGGAGGAAAACGTCCACAGGAGACCGTGCGTGGCCTCCTCGGGTGGAAGGCCCACGTCCCCGCAGAACGTCCACAGAGGACGCGAGACGTGGCCGCGCGTCGGGGAGGAACGTGCGCCTGGGCCCGGCTCCCACGCACAGCCCCGCACCTCCCTGCGGCTTCAGGCCGGCGTCGCGCCGGGGGCGGGCGTGAGGGTCGCCGGACTCGGGGCTCCGGGGGTCGCGGTCGATGACGAGGCACCAGACGACTCCTCCGCGGACCTGCTTTCAGAGCCGCCGCCGGGGCGTCCGCTCACGCCCGAAGGGTCTGCTGCAGGGGGCTCCGTGACCACTGCCGCCCGCGCTGAGGCGGGGCCCGGTGCGCTGAGCGCCAGGTGACGCCGGTGGCTCACCTCTGCCCGCGGCGCCCGGGGCTCCGCCCAGCTCAGCCCGGGCAGGCGCTGTCTAACTGGCCTGCGATGAAGACGCCAAGGTTTTACGAGTTAAGGTGGAGCGACTGGGCCCGTTACCCACACGCTCCTTCTTCTGGTCGCCTGCCCTCGAATCAGCGCGAGTCCCGCGTGCGACACGTCGGGGCGGGAACACGCGCGGGCAGACGTTGCACACGGGCATGGGGAGCCCCGCGTCTCGGCCCGGCGGCTGCGTGGAGGATCAGGGCCTCTTCCTGGGTGGCTTCTGTGACAGGGTGACCGGTGACTGCAAGGCGGCCAGGCGATCGCGCGGCCAGAGCCCGTGACCACGGACGGCCGCGGGGACGAGAAAGGCCCCGTTCACGCCGCGCACGCGCATCCTTCCCGGATGCGGGCCCGTAGGTCCGTAAAACCCTCCCTGTGGGCAGCGGTTCAGAAATTCTACAGCTGCTACGTAGTTCACGGGAAGCTTCCATTTGTCAAATTGAAACACGTTTCAATTAAGATGGTTTTCATTAGATGTTGTTACTACCTCAAAATTCATCAACCAGCCTATTGTGGTCGCACGGCTGAGTGACACGGAGCAGCCACAACAGATTAAAAATTCCCCCCAAATCCCCCGGAGACTGAGGGCGCAAGGAGAGACATCTGGGGAGATGGTGGGACTCCGGGCGTGTGGGCGACGGCGTGGCCCCTGCCGTTTCTTCCTCGCTCGCTGCTGAAAATCGGCGGTGGGAGGGAAAAGTGACGGAGCGGCCCGGTCAACGGCTGGCGCCGAAGGTTGGGGACGGGGCGGAGACCGCGCCTCTGCCCCGCCAGCGGAAGCCCCGGCCACGCAGGGTTTCCAACTGCCCATCCTGAGACCCGCCCCTGCGCCTGCGCAGAGCGGCCCACACGACGCACGCAACTGGAGACCTAGGACGTCGCCGGGGACCACGCCCCGCCCCCGCCGACGGTGCAAGCCCAGTCCCGCCCCGCCCCGGATCACGTGGGCCAAGGCGTCGACGTGGCAACTGCTGGGCAGAGCGAGGACGAGACGCAGCGTTGGGGCGGGGCCCCATGCGCCCCTTACGCACTGAGCGACGCTGGGACGGGCGTCCGTCCTTGCGGCGTCCCTGGGCGGCCCTGTCAGAAGAGGAGTTACCTTGGGCCACGCACGAAATACATTGCGATGCGTCATCACAAAACAGTCTTGTGATATTTTAAGTGAATTTACAATTTTGTGTCAGGCAGCGTTCACAGCCGTCCTGGGCCGCGGGTTGGACACCCTGCTCTGGGAGAACGACCCTCCGCCTGCGCTCCAGCTCCCACATCCAAGGGGGCCGCGAACACCTGCCTCTGGGCGGGGCTCTCACGCCCCTAAGAGAACCGGTGGGGCTGATGGGGCTCCCGGTCGGCCCTCAGGCAGTTGTAGGCCAGCGACAGAGAACAAAAGCGACAGGTCCCCCATTCTCAACCTGAACCAGAGCCATGGGGGGCAGCGGAGTCCCCCCCGGAGCGGTCTCGCGGCGGTCGCCGGCACGCTCGCGTTCAGCACAGGCGTGCTCGGTGCGCCCACCGTGGCTCGGCTGCGCTCAGGGGCAAATCACCCTTTCAGGGATTCCTTGGGCGAATCTCCTGGAAGTTCAGGAAAAGGCGAGGCTCTGGCGCACTTTTCCCCGAGGGCCTCTCTGGGGGTCTGCCCGGCTACCCGGCGAAGGCCACAGCCCCGAGGCGGCCGGCTGGCCATGTGCGCTCCGGACACTGCCCGCGGGCCTGGACGGCCGCACCAGGGGAACGCGGACTCCGACGAGGCAGCGTGGGCTCTTGCTCACCGTTGTCTCGGGCACAGCGCCTTTCGCGCACGTCTTGCTTTCTGGGGCTCCCCGTCTACAGGAAGCCTCGGAGAGATCCGGTTTTTATTCATAACTAAAGGCAAAAGGCAAAGGCGAGGGGCTCGAGACTACAACTCGAATGCCAAAAAAAGCGCGTTGCTCCCGTGTCCTCCTCAACGGCGTCTGAGCGGCAAACGGCGCCGCCCAGCGGCTTGTGTCTGGGTGGCCGACTTTTCCTTTTAATTTACGACCGTATTTGTACAGAAAACATGCCCATTCGTGGTTCTGAGACCTGCTCTGTCAGAGTGTGTCGACGGCTCCGCCGGGGCGAGGCAGGTGAGGGCGGACACGCAGGGAAAAGACCCCGGCGACCTTGTGCGGCTGAGCCACTGGTGGGTCCTCCGCCCCAGGCCGCTGCGGGGCTGAGGATGCCCTGGCGCTGTTTGCAGACCGCTTCCCTCCGTTGTCTAGCCAAAAAGAAAAAACGGCACTGCTCACTCAGAGCAGAACGAATCGGAGACTGAGCCCCCCAGGACGCCGGTGGGGTCCAGGAGGTGCCAGCTGAGTCCTGGACACTGGGTCCCCGTGGCTTCTCGTACGGCCCTAGAAGGCTCGGTGCTGGGCAAGGACGGATGTGGGCAGCAGAGGGAGCAGTGCCTTCGCACGGCATCCTGTCCGGCAACGGATGGGGCAGGGAACCCCCGTGGTCTGTGGCCAGGCTTGCGGGAAAGGGGGCCCCGGTGTGGACGGGGCGGGTAGCCCGGCCGCCTGACGCTGTGTTTCCTCTCCGCAGGGGGGCAGAGACAGTCGCTCCGGATCGCCCATGGCCAGACGCTGAAGCCCGCGGCCTGCTCCCGAATCCTGTCCTCGGCTTCCTAACGCGCCCCCTGAGATGTTAACACGGCCCCGCCCGCCCCCCACTTCTAGAAATGACAACCTCTCACCTAACGCCTTGGACGTGTGCGCACAGTAGGGTCAGCTCGCCGCATCCTACTGGCATTTTCCGGCCCACAGCCCCACGGAGAAGCGCAAACACAGAACACTTCAACGCCCCCGCCTTCGCGTCTGAAGACAAAGTGTCCCGGAGTTTCATTCCACGGCAACGCGCTGGGCGTCCCGGAGCCCCATGCCCGGGCCGGGCCGCCACCCACTCACCCTCCGTCCTCGGACTTGCTGCGCCCGCTGACCCTTCCCCGGCTTCCGGCACCGCCGTGCAACGCTGCTGTGGACGCCGGACGTGGGCGGGTGGCGGGACTGGCGACCGCGCCCCTCCGGTTTCCTCCCCGCCCTGCCTCACCTCCTAAGGCCCCTTCCCCTCCCTAACAGGACTAGGCAGCGAGTGGCTTCACCCCGCGGGGGCTTCGGTACGTGAGACGCAGGTGGCAGCTTGGAGGAGAGCAGGGTGGCGGCGCAGAGGGCCCGGCGGGCCACTCCCTCGCCGGGGGGGCCGACCTCGCGCACGGCGGACAGGGGACGGCGGCAGGCGGGCTGGGCCGTGGCCTGGAGCAGGCGAGGACACAGCGGGGACCACAGTGGCCCCTACAAAGCACCTGTTTCGTCACCAGAGCCCGGCTGAGAGCTCGGGGAGACCTGCAGAGAGAGAGAGGACTGTAGGAGGTTTCGGGGTGCCACGCAGTGCCGCCCTGGTTGCTGGAGAGCCGACGGTGGCCGGTGGCACGTTCGGCCGGGCAGTGCGCGCTGCAGACACTAACCCTAACCCTGGGGGGGACCCTGCCTCAGCCGGCCTCCTGGGGGCGGGCGCGGCCGGCTCGGCTAGGGCTGCCCCCGCCCCTGATCCCGCTCCTGAATCTGCCCCCGCCCCCGCCCCTGATCCGCCCCCGCCCCAGCCCCTGATCCGCCCCCGCCCCATCCTACCCCGACCCAGCCCCAGATCCTGCCCCGCCTCTGGTCCTGCCCCTGCCCCAACGCTGCCCCCTGCTGGGCCCAGCTGCCATCTGAGGCTGGAGAGAAGCCGCCCTCTGGAAGGTCCCTCTAACATGAGCTGACGCCCCTGCGCCCCGTAACATGCTGATTCTGCGTTTTGAGTTTTAGTGCCTCTTCTCAGCCTTCCCGGCCCCCCAAGGCCTCCTGCCCCCACTAGAGTGAGGAGGGGGCGTGGCCCCCGTAGGCTCCCTAACCCCCCTAACCCCGACTGTTGAGAGTGGGTTTACCTAACGTCCACTAACACACACAGCCTAGGCGACGAGAGGGCGAGGAGACCCAGCCCCGCCTCCGGCAAACCCAACCCCCACACGCTCGCCCCAGCGGCCTGCCTCTGAGCGGGTGCCGGCGGGGGAGCCCCACGCGGACGACACCCCAGCGCAGCCCCGGCTGTCAGGGGGCACCCACACCGTTCTTGAATAGTGACGTGAATAAACTTTTAATGGTATGCGCATGGTGTCTTCCTGTTATTTGGGTCCGCGGTCATCGCGTCTGCACTAACGTTGGGACAGGCCGCGTGGCCACACAGGGCTCGCTGGGTGCCCGCCAGCAGGGCGGCGCCGCCGCTGGGCTGACAGTGACGAGAGCAGGGGGTCGGGCCACGGTTAGGGCGCCGGCTCCCCGACTCACCAGGGAGGGGATTCCAGTTGTCTCTGAGCCGCCCTCACAGACACTGACCAGTGAGCGCCCGCCCGTGGGAACCTTGGATGGGTTATTTTTGCCACATTTTACCTCCCGGAGACATGGACAACTGATTTTGCCAATTTTTGTTGATAGTTGGTTTTGGTTACAAGACCAGCTGAAATAGATGACTTTTTGTTTTACTTTTGACAAAATCACAGGTTCCATCTCAATGGCAGCCACGAGGGGCTGTGTCCCCATGGGGACCCAGACCTCCTGCCGGACGACCGCCCCCCCGTGGCATGGCCACACTCGGCCGTGGCGGCCCCACCAGTGGGCGGAGGGGCTCCAAGCCCGTGGCGACCCCCTTCCCCTTCACTTCTCTACCCAAGCCCTTCGGGCGGGACATTCGGAAAATCATGCAAGATTATTACATTTTTGAAGTGGTCAGTGCCAGGGCTCAGCTCATCCGGGTCCCGAGTCACCCTGTGTCTCAGACGTGCACAGGATGCGTGGCCCAGCGTTCCGGAACCTTCATCAGGAGAGTACTTTCGATCGTTGAGGCCCTCCACCGTAGAGGGGACAGCTACCATAGCCTGGTCACTTAAGAAAGTCCCCTCCCGCCACCCCCGTGTTTATAAACAATCAGCGCGACTCGCCAGCCCCCAAGCCAACGGGAAGCAAGGTGGGGAGGGCTTCCTGCACCCCCCCCCGAGAAAGTCCAGGGATCAAACCCTGCAGCTCTTCGCCCAAAAGCACACGGCGCACCCCGCACCCGCCCGCCCCGCCTGAGACAGAGTGAGCCGAGGCGAGACGTCCTTCGTTCACTCGCCAGGCGCGTGGCTGTGAAGGCCCCACTTCCGAAGGTTGAAAACGTATCCTCCAGGAGGATCAGACACTGTAAGGGAAACCAGCTCCCTCAGGGCTGCGGGGGAGGCTCACGGCCCCGCCTCTCAACGGGCAGACTCGGGTGACGATTCATTTAATTTCATTTCATGCCACCCTCCAATGCCTTACAAACGAAAAAGCGGATCATACCCTCCGGCACAGAAAATGAGACGCCCTCACACGCTTCAAACCCCGCGCCCCTGAACGCACCGCGGGTGGCGCCGCCGAGCGCGGGTCCGAGCCGCGAAGGGCGCGAGAGGCGACGGCCACCTGCAAGCTGCTCGCACTCGCCCGAGGCCCAAATGAGTCCACGTACAGGAGCTTTGAAATGATACAAAAGCTCTTTTTATTGTTCTGAAAGCCAGCACGGTGGCCTTTGGCATAGCTATCCATTTCTAATACAAAACTGGATTAAATAAATATTATCCAATGTATAAATAGACCATGAAACAATGCTGAAGATAAAAAATTCTTTTGTAAATTAAAAAAATTAAAAATTTTCTTCAGTGGTGAATCGAGAATGGATCACTGTGTCATTTTAGAATTGGTCAAACAGATTACAAATCTCAGCTGAACACGGAAGTCCTCTTGCAGCCAAGCTTCACATGGAGACACGACGGACCAGGACACCCGCGGCGGTTACTGCCCGCTGCTCCGGCCACGGCTGCCCCTCGTGTTTGTTCTTAGCGCTGAAACAGTCTGTTAGTCCCCCGCACGAAATGCCACCGCGGCGCCCACCGGGAAGGGGTGGGTGTGGGGGAGTCTGGCGCCCGCCTGTGACCGAGGAAGTGGGTGCGTGCAGGTCGCCAACGGCCACGTGCGAGGCTTCGTCCGGGGGCCGCCCAAGGCAGAGGACGTGCCCTTACCGGGCTGTACCCCACCAGGTCTGCTCGTTCCTCTTTTTAAGCAGCGAAGGAGATGAAGTTTGACTTTAAAAGGCTGACTGTCACCGGATCAGGTGAAGACACTGAGACCCCCAACAGGTACGCAGGCACTTTTGAAACCCCACTCCAAACGCTCCAGAACCTTACATGCACAGAGGGTAAGGGACGGAGGAAAAGATGTAGATTCACTAGTATCACCTGTATAGTTTCACCTCTGCCTCACTTTCCACAATAGACTTTTAGAAAAAGAACTGGCAGCAACGATCGACCCTGGATTAACTTTTTGGTGGTGGGGGGAGGGGCGGGCCATTGGCTTTAAAATAAACCTCTGGGGGAAAATATGGGAAGAGCAGGCAGGAGATCGCTCTAAAAATCTAACCAGAACTCAGTTCTAGGTATCTTACATGTTTTCTTAAAAAGATGTCCCTTACATACACCCGAGCGATCATTTTTCTGTTAAAATACGTGTATCTGCACGAGCTATATTCTCCAGAGGAGAACCCACATGAAACACAGAAACCCGCTCCACCACGCAGAACCGTGTGTCGGCACCCACCCAGTCACACGTGTCACGTGAGGGCTGGGAAGTAGAGCGCCAGGGTGACTGTGAGACACAGATCCCCACGGCCTGCGAAGCGACCGCGGCAGAGGGGCGTGACCTGCCGTCCTAGTGACCAGCCCCGAGTTAAAGGCTGACACTGGGCAACAGCGACACCTCCCCACGGAAGGGGCCCTGGACTTGCCTGTGGGGACAGGGTTTCCCCGTGAACTCGGGGACACGGGGCTGGAGGCCACAGGGCATTCCCTCCCCTCCATGGACCCAACAGGCCGCGGACTCCCCTCCCACGCCCATCTGAGCGCGGAGGCCGGTGGGTGGGGTGGGAGGCCGGCCGCGCAGGGCGAGGGGCCCGGGGCCCCCATTCTGCAGAGGTGGTTCGTTCTGACCCACTGCTGTTCCGTGGGACAACACTTCTCTGTCACCTACTGGAGCGGACAGTAGGCCCACGGGGCTCTTCCTGGGACGGGGGCATCACAGAGTTTGTGGCGGCGGGGGCGGGGCCCTTTCCTTATCTGGACTTCAGAGAGGGGAAAATGTTGTTAAAAATTGCCTGAACTTCGAGTGAGTTCCTGTGCCGACCTTTCTTTTATTATTATTTTTTTAAAATTTAATTTCACTTCCTAACTTGATGTTTTATTTGTCACTCCAAAACAGGCGTGCTAACGTGAGCTGGTTCTAAAAACACAGCTGGCGCCACGCACAACCCTGGCCCCGGAGAGGGGCCGCCCGCCGCTGGCCCGAAGGCGTGCTCGGCCACTGAGCCAGCAGGGCGCCTGCACCTGCAGGGGCCGCAGGCGCTCGCTCCGAAACCTTGGTTGTCCGGGGCGCTCGCAAAGCAGCAGCTTTTGTAACTAGGAGGTAAATCAGACTCGTACAGTACTAGCTTGTGTTGGCCTGCTCACACACTGGGAAAGCTCTCAACTGGATTAGCGATAGATTTTTTTTCTTTTCTTTTACCAAAATAAAAGCAGGCTTTCGCTTTCCCCGGAGCGGGCCTTGACGGCCACCGGCCACAGAGCTGGGGAGCCGCGCGTCCTGTGCCGACCGGAACCAGACAAGACCCTCAGACACTGTGCCGAGGTGACAGTTAACGCTAAAAACAAAGTAAATAAACTAGCGAGAAGAGAATTTTTTCAAAATTCCAATAGTTGCAACTTTGGGGGTATTTGTACACCAAAATTAATCAACATGTCTAAAATATTTTAATACAAAATTATAAAAGAAAGTGCATTAAAAGCAGAACCTTTAAAACTCTGGCAAAATTACAATGATTCTGAACACACGGACTACAGCCAGGCGTACACGCCAACATTCAAGGAAAACCCCAGGATATATAGTGAGTCCAGCATCACAAGAATAAGTCAAATAAGGCTTTTCTTTTTCCCTTAAAAAAATATACAATACACAAAGCAGTTTGAAAAAAAAAAGTAATATTATTTAACAGTTTTCTGACTTAAATATTTTCACATAACAAAACTTTTTATATCACCATCGATGTTACTTATATACATATCCAAAAGTGAACAAGAACAAACAAATCAGGAGACGTCCTTTCAAAAAAATAAGAGTGAAATGTCTCTTTTCTCAGGAACCTGAAACGAGTTCCCCTCTTCATGTACAAAGTCCATACAGTATTTATAATAAAACTGCTCTCTTCTGAAAGCAGGGAGGCAATGAGAGAAAGTGAAGGCAATCATTTCTCAGGAGAACCCAGCAGCCCCCGCTGTGCGTTACAGCGAGAAAGACGCCCGTCTGCCGGGAGAGCGGACGCAGTGCCGATCGGAGTGCTGGGGGAGGGCGGACCAGCGCGCTCTCCGGAACGGGGCAGACGGGGGGGCGGGGGGGGCGGACGGGGGCTTCTATTTACAAAATACACCGTTCGGCCACACAGAGGCCCTGTACCAGCCTATGTACATGTGCACTTATATGTAGAACATATAAATAACCCCGCAGGGGCGCGCCCAGGACTCCCCGTCTTTGGAATGCTGGGGGGAGGCCGCACCCCTGCCCGCACGGGTGGGTTTGGGGGGGACGCGTGGGATGTGGCACCATTGATGAGGCTCGAGAATTCCCTGAAACACACACACACCGCGATGCGCGAGGAGGGGCCGCGGCTGGTCTGGGTCCACGCCTGCCCACGAGGGAGGCTCCGCCGCAGCAACCGGGCCAGGCGCCCCCGCCGCTCCTGCCTGCAACCTATGGCTTGTGCTTCCCGCTGCGCCCGGCCGGGGGCCCGCGGCGCGCCGCTCGCCAGCGTGGGGTTCGCTCGGCTCCCCGCGACGAGGCCCGGAGGCCGCCTTCCGGTGCCTGGTGACTCGGTGTCCGTGATGGAGAGAGAAGCGGCCCAGCCACCTCTCACGGCATCGTCGCTCCTCCTACCATGGACCGAGAGAGTCCGTTCCCGCTCGCTTCACAACGCACAGGGAGAGGCATGGGGGGCCTCCCTGCGTCCTAACGTTCTTCCGAGCTGCGTGCACCGGCCTGACGTCTGCTTC